CATTCAAAACCTCCTGCACTCACCCTGGGCCTTTCAGTGGGATGTGCCTGGTGGAGGAAGATTTATGAAATAACAGATTTTGCCCTTTTCCAAAAAAAAAAAAACCAACAAAAAAACCAAAAAAAGAGCAGCAGGTTTCCTGCAGTTCATGAAATTTATCTAAGCATTATTCATGCACATGGTTTTTTTCCAAGAAGTGCCTTYACTTATGTAAGAATATGAGGTAGCATAAATTGTAGTTAATATTTTTATGAATACTACTACACATATTGTTTCAATGTTTTATGAAAATTAAATTTTTTTTAATTGACCTGTGATCAGGGCCAAAACTAAAATTTATKTTCCTGTTCAAAGGGATCAAACAATGCCATACTCTGCTTTTTTGGGRTAGGGTCTAGTTGCTCTGGCAATGCCATCTGGGAGGAATCTTGCTGAAGCAATGTTACTAAAATTTTACTTTGATGTTGTAACCACTAGGCTGGAGGTTAATAATTCTGTTGTAATAAGTGTCCTGTAGTTCTCTCTCTGGAGAAATCATATTTCACAGGAGTTCCTCCTGTTTCAGAAAGTTTCAGAATGTTTCAGAAGTCTAATGAACTTTAACTCATTTTCTTTCACCCAAGTTGCTTTAGAATAAAAGATAAAACAAGGAGATTTTCCAAATAGTCCTCACAGTTTCAACAAAGTTTTCCTAGCACTACTTCTGGGTAARCATTGTTCTAGAACTCTTTTTTTCCATTCCAGTTAAATACCTATTATTTAACAAAATTTTGGACATCCAAGCTCTCTTTTGAGTCACTTTGCCACCTTTCGTCATTTATTTTGATTTATTTAAAAACAAATATAATCAAATAATTTAATTATTTTTTTTGTTTAATTATTAATCTATTAAATAGTTTTTTTTTTTTTTTCCCCAGAAGCTCATGCACCTAAACTATGACAATCTCAGGACAATTCTGTCATTTTCACGTGTTTTTATCCCATCCATATGTGGCACAAGTCTTTGAGAACCATTTATTGAGCTGGGAGGAGACAATCTTTTTTGGCAACTGTTTTTAAGCCTCATGCAGCATCTCCTGCTGKATATGATGCTGTTTGAAGCTCTGCATCCCAGAAATGTTTCCCTGCAGTTTTATGGATTCCTGGAGGAGCCTGGAATCGTTTCTGCAGTTATTAAAGTGTAATTCTTCCTAGAAGTGATGAGGCAGAGCACGCAGCACTTTGTTCACTCATCTCTATGCAGGGATTTTGACTGAAATAATAAATAAATATCTYTTGAGATCATCACTTAACTGGAGCCATTCCTTGCCTCTGCCATGGATTTATTTATTTTTTTCTTTTAATTATTATTTTTTTTTTAAACTTAGTGCTTTGGGTAATTTTGGCATTTTTGTCCTTGCATCCCATCTCTACAACACAGGCAAACATTTTTAGGGTTTCATGGTATTAAAAGTTCTTTCACGGTTTGAGTTTTGCTGTTGCCTTAATTAAATTTAGGTGTTGTAAAGGTTAAAGACTCAATATATGACAGAACCTCCTTCTTCAAAGGCAACACTAAAAGATAATTCCTTCAACAGCCTCATGGAACAGTTTGTACATCTGCACTGAATATTTGTGTGCAACTACTGCAAGCAGTCTATTTTTTCCCCTGGAAAATAATATTACTCTTGTACAGTTCCACGTTATACTTATTTTTAACTATTTAATTAAATAATTATTTTATTAAATTTTATTTTAAATAAWTCAAAATAAATTAAGAAAGGTGGCAAAGTGACTCAAAATAGAGCTTAGTTGTCCACGACGACATTGAAGCACGGGTATTTAACTGGAGTGAAAGGTAATTCCCTTTTTATTTAGAATGTGAACTTGTGAAAAAGTATTTTAGCACGTTTTTCCTGAAGAAGTAAATAACAAGGGGTGGTAGGTCATCTTCCTGAAAATAATGCCTTCATGGCCTTTAATAATTGTTTAAAAAAAAAAAAAAAAACCCAAAAAAAAATTTAACTTCTTTAATGATTACTAGGATGATTGTTGGACCTGGATAATCTTTTTGGTCCCTTCCAACCCCAACCATTTTATGATTTTGTGATGATTGGAAAAGAGAAAACAAACCAATTTTTTAATTTTTTTAAAAGTTATTGAAATGAAACTTTCAAAAGAAAAGCATGAGGTGTTTAATCTGCTTTCTGTGTCACCCTGAAAGCATCCAGGAYGAATCTGCTCTGGTCCCAAGCACAGCAGGACCTAAAGCTGTGATTTTSTGACAGCTCCTGGGCTCTCTTTTGGGCCACAGTGATTTTGCTGTGCTGTGCAAAGCTCTTCCATTTCACACATTTCCAAGAGGAAAATCATCTTTCAGAGTTATTCTAAGGGAAAGGATTTGCCATTCCCCCAGGGTCTGTACTGCAGATTTACTGTCTTGCTGAACTTGGTTTACGCATTTGTAGCAATTCCTTTTCTTTTTCTTCTCCAACTACATATTTTATTTATTCTTTTTTTTTTTCCAGTGCCTGAAGCTGGCTTGCTAATTACTTTTCCATCTATTCTAAGGAAAATATAGACTAAGCCAGAAAATTACATAAAGGTCATATTGAGCCCCATTCTGATGGAAATGAGGCTCATGCAGTAAAAATAGTTCTAGATGCCAGGTGGCACTGAAGGCTATTAGAGTAGCCTGTCACATTTAAAGAGCTGGAAATCTTGCT